GTAACCAAAACAATATGGTACTGGCATAAAAGTAGAACACAAAGATCAGTGGAACAGAGTAGAGAACCCAGCAATAAAACCATATACACACAACCAACCGATTTTCACCAAAGCAGTCAAAAACATACACTGGGGAAAGGACACAAGTCAATAAATGTTGCTGGGAAATTGGATAGCTATATGCAGAAGAATAAAACTAGATCCCTATCTCTCACCATATACAAAAATTAACTCTCTAGACAGTTTAAAGACTTAAATGTAAGAGCTGACACCATAAAAATCCTAAGAGAAAATGTAGAAAAAAATTCTTCTGCACATTGGTGTAGGCAAAGAATTTGTGACTATGACCTCAACAGCAGATGCAACAAAAACAAAAATAGACAAATGGGATTTAAACTAAAAAATCTTCTGCACAGCAAAAGAAATAATCCATAGAGTAAACAGACAACCTCCAGAATAGGAGAAAATATTTCCTAACTACATGTCTGACAAAGGACTAATAAAGAATTTACAAGAAACTAAACAAATCAGCAAGATAAAAACAAATAACTCCATTAAAATGTGGGCAAATGACATGAATAGGCATTTTTTAAAATAAGACATACAAATGGCCAAGAAACATATGAAAAAGTGCTCATCACTAATCATCAGAGAAATGCAAATTAAAACTACAATTAGATACTACTTTACTCCAATTAGAATGGTTATTATTAAAAAGTCAAAAAATAATAGATGTTGGAATGGATACAGTGAAAAGGAACACTTACACACTGTTGGTAGGAATGCAAATTAGAACAACCTCTATGGAGATTTCTCAAAGAACTAAAAGCAGATCTAACCATTCAATCCACAATCCTATTATTGGGTATCTACCCAGAGGAAAATAAATCATTATATCAAATGCACTCATATGTTTATTACAGTACAATTCACTATTACAAAGATATGAAATCAATATAAGTGCCCATCAACAGATGAGTGGATTAAGAAAATGTGATATATATATTTACCATGGAGTACTACTTAGATATATGAAAGAATGAAATGTCTTTTATAGCAACATGGATGCAACTGGAGGCTATCATCCTGAGTGACATAACTCAGAGACAGAAAAATAAATGCTGCATGCCTTCACTTGTAAGTGGGAGCTAAACTGTGGCTACACAGGGCACATAGAGTGGTATAATGGACATTGGAGACTGACAAGGGGGATATAGGAGGAGGGAGTGAGGGATGAAAAATTAGCTATTGGGTACAATGTATACTACTTGTGTGATGGGTATACCAAAAGCCCAGATTCCACCACTATACAATATATACATGTAACAGAATTTAACTTGTACCCTCTAAATATACTAAATTAAAAAGAAAAAAGAAAAAAGGTTTTGACACCATATTCAATATAAAGAAATATACAAAATTAAATTTTTCCAATTTTTTGTAATTTTGTTTCACTTATTAAAAGACACAGGCCACTTTTTAATATTTTTTCTGGCCATTAGTCTGTCTTCTTTTGAAACATTTCTGGTCATGTCCTTTGCCCATTTATTGATGGGGTTGTTTGATTTTTTCTTGTTGATTTTCTTAAGTTCTATATAGATTTTTGTTATCAGCCCTTTATCAGATGGGTATAAAGCAAATATTTTCTCTCATTCTGTAGGCTATTTGCTGTAATGATAGTTTCTTTGGCTGTGCAGAAGATTTTTAATTTGATCAGTTCCCATTTATTTATTTTTGTTGTTGCTTTTAGGGCTTTCTTCATAAATTATTTGCCTACGCTGATGTCTGTAAGAGTTTTTCCAAAATTTTCTTCTAGAATTCTTATAGTTTCATGCCTTAGGTTTAAGTCTGTTATCCATTGTGAGTTGATTTTTGTGAGAGGTGAGAGGTGCGGATGCTGTTTCAAGTCTTCCACATGTGGCTATCCAATTTTCCCAGGACCATTTATTGAATAATGATTCTTTTCTCCAGTGTATGTTTTGGTCTGCTTTGTAAAATATCAGATGGTTATATGAGGATGATTTTATATCT